ATATTCAAACTCAGAAAACGTGCTCTGCTCGGGCTGAAAATGCGTTTAAAGCAATAAAAACTCAAAATGAGTGTCAATGCCTTACTATACATGGTCTTTTTTTGGGGCTAAAAATTTCAGCTAAAAAGGCCTTACTATACATGGTCGTTTTTTTCGGCTAAAAACGCCTTACTATACATGGTCTTTTTTTCCGTTTAAAAACGCCTGACTATACATGGTCGTTTTTTGGGGCTAAAAATTTCGGCTAAAAACGCCTTAGTATACATGGTCGTTTTTTCGGCTAAAAACGCCTTACTAAACATGGTCGTTTTTTTTGGGCTAAAAATGCCTTACTATACATAGTCTTTTTTTGGGGCTAAAAATTTCAGCTAAAAAGGCCTTACTATACATGGTCGTTTTTTTTCGGCTAAAAACGCCTTACCATACGTGGTCTTTTTTTTCGGCTCAAATCGCCTTACTATACATGGTCGTTTTTTTCAGCTCAAAACGCCTTACTGTACATGGTCGTTTTATGGGGCGAAAAACACGTTCCTTTGCATGGTCGTTTTTTTCAGCTAAAAATGCCTTACTATACATGGTCGTTTTTTCGGCAAAAAATGACTTCCTTTCAGCTCAAAACGCCTTACTGTACATGGTCGTTTTATGGGGCGAAAAACACGTTCCTTTGCATGGTCGTTTTTTTCAGCTAAAAATGCCTTACTATACATGGTCGTTTTTTCGGCAAAAAATGCCTTCCTACATGGTCGTTTTTTCAGTTAAAAACGCCTTACTATTCATGGTCGTCTTTTTCGGCAAAAAATGCCTTACTATACATGGTTGTTTTTTTCGGCTAAAAATGCCTTACTATACATGGTCGGTTTTTTTGGTTAAAAACGCCTTACAACACAAGGTCGTTTTTTGGGGCTAAAAATGCCTTACTATATACATGGTCGTCTTTTTCCGGGTAAAACACCTTACTATACATGGTCGTTTTTGGGGGGGCTAAATACGCATATATATAATTTCAGGACGTAAGTATACGTTTTTTTTCATTGTACTCAAAATGAACGGGCGTGTCATAACTAATTGACATGTTGAGTCCAGTGTGCCTTACCCTCCATGGCAGAGGCGCTGTCGAACCCCTGAGATCGATTCACCAAACCCCTCGGGTTCGATCGAACCCAGGTTAAGAACCACTGCTGTAGATGATGCCAGTGGTCAAAGCGTTTGTGGCAGGTCTGTTTGTTTGGGATGGATGTGAAAGGGACGGTGAATGCAGCTTGTGTAGCACGTGTACAAACGACCCCATGGGACTTGGTGGCATTTATTTATTCCCTCGCTCTTTGTTCCATTATGTTTTGGGGTTTTTTTGTTTTGGCGAATGGACTACAGCAGGGGTGTCAAACTCATTTCACATGGTGGGCCACATACGGCCTCGGTAGATGTCAAGTGGGCCGGACCATTAAAATGATACCATACTTTGCTATAAATAACCAAAACAATGTCTTTCCTTTGTTTTGGTATAAAGAAGCACAAGAACATTAGGAAAATGTTGAAATTTAATGAACATATCTTTTACAAAATATTTCATGAAGCACCTTACATTTCCTTCGACAAATGTGCAATTTACTT